CAAAAAAAAAAAAAAAAAAAGCCAGCCCAGGTAGGAAAGTCCATGAGACTCTTATCTCCAATAAACCACTAGAAAACCAGAAGTGGCACTGTAGCTCAAGCAGTAAAGTGCCCTCCTTGAGCTGAAGATCTGAGGACTAGTGCCCAACCCCAGAGTTCAAGCTCCATGACTGACTATATATCTATATCTACAGATATATACAAATGGGAAAATTTATTAAACAAATATATTAGGTTTGTCTGCTTTGAGCAATATGTATTGAATGTCCTCTTGCCATAGTGACTAGCCAGTACTTTTAAGTGTCCGCTGTGATTATCATCTACTATTATTAAATATCCATCGGATGAAAACCATAGGAGTCAAGCAAATCACAACTGCTGCTGTACATGTTGGGATCAAACGTACAAAAAAATATGTTCCTCATTACATAGATGGAGAACAATAATTTATATTTGAAAATTTTAAAACATACTAAGTGCTATTAAAACTTTAACCTATATACTACATTTTATGAAATAATTTTGTTGTTTTTTTTTGTCAGTCATGGGGCCTGAACTCTGGGCCTAAGCACTGTCCCTCAGCTCTTCAGCTCAAGGCTAGCGCCCTACCACTTGAGCCACAGCGCCACTTCCAGCTTTTTCTGCTGATGTGGTGCTGAGGAATCGAACCCAGGGCCTCATGCATGCAAAGCAAGCACTCTACCACTGAGCCACCTTCCCAGCCCCTGTATGAAATAATTTTGTAGAGGTGTATTTCTATATTCTATACAGTTAAGGATATTTTTTATAGTCTGTTGGTAGTTTTAAGTAAAAGTGCTTTGGAAGTTTGCTGTTGCACTGCCTTTTCATGCATTCTCTAACATGTTTACTGAATTTCTACCCTCTGACACTTTTTTGGGGGGTTGGTCGTGGCGTGGGGCTTGAACTCTGGGACTGGGCACTGCCCCTCCGTTTTTCAGATCAAGGTGAGCACTCTACAGCTTGAGCCACAGCACCACTTCTGGTTTTCTGGTGGTTAATTGGAGATAAGAGTCTCATGGACTTTCCTGCCCGGGTTGGCTTTGAACCTCAATCCTCAGAGTTCAACCTCCTAAATAGCTAGGATTACAGGCGTGAGCCACTAGCGCCTGGTTTCCTCTTACAGTTTGTACCCTGCTGGATGCTAAAAACATAGCAAAGAACTAAGGATCCCTGCCTTTAGGGAGTTATGTTTCAATGGCACAGGCAGCCATAGGTAAGACAGGTAATTTTAATAGAATGCTAAATGTTAAGAGAAAAAAGTAGGGTAGCAAGAAAAACAGAATATGAAGTTGGCAAACAGGATGCCAAAAAGTTGAAGTGACCTTAAACCTGAAGAAATTTAATAATGATGATTTCTAAGGAGACATGAGTAGTATAAAGATCCTGAGACTGTGTATTTTTAATATCAACATGAATTGCTAGAAATTTTTTTCTTTTACCAGGTAAGACCTAATAATGTAATGCAGCAAAATAAACGCTTTTAACTCGAAGTTATTGAATTTGGTTTAGATCCCTTTCCATTAAAAAGCTGTATCCCTAATAAGTACTTTCACTTTGGCCTGTCTGATATCAATGCATCCATATTATAAGCTTAGTATTATAAAGAGATAAGCTACAATAGTTAAGAGCTATCAAGTCAAATGTAATGGTGGCAGTGGGGATGAGAAAGTTGCCCTGGTGAGCAGCAGAACACTTTATGTCCCTTAACCGTAAATGGGGTCCTCATGGCACTTTAAAAAGACAATTGCCTAAAGTATGATTCAAGTAATTTCCCCCTTAAATTTTTCCTTATGTGTTTGTTAACACTTTGAATTTCTTTAAAGGAGATGTAAGCATTTGGTTTTTCAAGATGTTTGCAAATAAAAAGTTTATACTAGAATTTGTGATCCACTTCACCATGGGTTTTAGAGACAGTGCATTGAAAGTAAGTTTTCCAGTGGCTGCATATTTGAAAATTAGTGTAAAACTAATTTGTATTAATCTTGGAATAATGAAAAAGGAGCAGGTCCAAATATATTGTACCAAGCTGATTTGTCAACTGGCTTTATGCAAAGTAATAAAAATATCAACAAGATTCCCGGCCCAAATGGCACTTTACTGGGAATAATATTAGAATGGTTAAAAAACAAGATACTAAAGATAAAACGAATCTGAGGTTCATAAAAGCCAAAAATTTACCTCATAATAGATGTGTTACAAGACTGTTCAGGGCATACCTGGTCATACTAAGATCTATTGAAACTATTTACTAAAAACAAGATTTAAAAATGAACTCTGGGCTGGGTGCTGGGCTCAGACCTATATTCCTAGCTACTCAGGAGGCTGAGATCTGAGGACTGAGGTTCAAAGCCAGCCCAGGCAGGAAAGTACATAAAATTCTTACCTCCAATTAACCCCCAGAAACCCGGAAGTGGCAGTATGGCTCAAAGTGATATAACCCTGGTCTTGAGCAAAAAAGTCAGGGATGCTGTTCAAACAAAAACAAAACCCTCTGACCAGGAACTATGTGTCTCAAGCCTGTAATCCTCCTCAGGAGACTGAGATATTAGGATCATGGTTCAAAGCCAACCTGGGCTGAAAAGTTCCTATGAGACATCTCCAGGTAGCCACCAAAAAACCAAAGTTTTGCCTTGTGAAGGTTAAAATGTGTTTGTGACTTTAAGTATCACTATTCCACAATACTGTGAAGTATGTGAAATTTATGTAATCACCTAATCTCAATTTAAAAAAAGAAGGGATGGGTTAGCAGAGATGGGTGACAATGTTATCAGACACTTTGTACTCATATACTGTTTTGTAAAATGGGAACTTCTTTGTACAACTGCTTAAATAAAAAAAAAAAAAAAGAATTCTGGGCTGAGTGCCAGTGGTTCACACCT